GAGCGTGCCCCTGGTGCTCTAGAGTGAGCATGTGAGCGTGCCCCTGGTGCTCTAGAGTGAGCGTGTGAGTGTGCCCCCCTGGTGCTCTAGGGTGAGCGTGTGAGTGTGCCCCCCTGGTGCTCTAGGGTGAGCATGTGAGCGTGCCCCTGGTGCTCTAGAGTGAGCGTGTGAGTGTGCCCCCCGGTGCTCTAGAGTGAGTGTGCCCCCCCACCCCACCCCCCGGTGCTCTAGAGTGAGTGTGCCCCCCGGTGCTCTAGAGTGAGTGTGCCCCCCGGTGCTCTAGAGTGAGCGTGTGAGCGTGCCCCCCGGTGCTCTAGAGTGAGCGTGCCCCCCTGGTGCTCTAGAGTGAGCGTACCCAGGTGCACTAGTGTTTGTATGCTCTCTCTCTCACTCTCAGTGTTTCCTCTGCTCTCCAGATGAGACACCGATCATTGCTGTGATGGTGGCCGTCTCCTCCCTGCTGGTCATCGTGTTCATCATCATCGTGCTATACATGCTCAGGTGAGCCACAGTGAAAATACTCCCGACGCTGGGACACAAGTAGACTTTACAGTATCAGGAAGGCCACAGGCCCCTTTGAGCTGAACTGATTCCATTTCCTGGGGCCCCTGTGCTGCAGAATCCTGCCTGAAGGTCGTTGTAAACAGGCTGTGGTCGTGCTCCCCGAGCAGTGCAGGTCCTGCAGCAGTGTGGCCTTGTCACTGGCCAGCCAGCAGCCTATTTGTTCTAGTTCAAGCAGGTGGCCACTTCAGCATAGGCTGCAAAGCCTCGTTAGCGCAGTAGGTAGCGCGTCAGTCTCATGATCTGAAAGTCGTGAGTTCGATCCTCACACGGGGCAGGGATCATTCCTGTTTTTACATTCAACCTCAAGCCTGCGTGGAAGCAGCACACAGCGAACTCCACGACATTATCAACAAGCACGAAAACTCCCACCCAGAAGCCCTCTCAATTGTAGTTGGGGACTTCAACCACTGCAATCTGAGGAAAGTACTGCAAAAATACATTCAGCATGTCACTGTACCGACAAGAGGAGGCAATATTTTGGACCACTGCTACACAACAATAAAAGGAGCATACAAAGCGCTTCCCAAACCGAGTTTCGGTAAGTCGGACCACATCGCTCTCCTGTTGCTTCCTGAGTACAAACAGAAGCTGAAGACCTCCCCCATTGCGAACAGGTCAGTGCGTTGTTGGTCTGAGGAAGCGGAAAGCAAGTTAATAGACTGCTTTGATAGTACAGACTGGGACGCATTCAGAGCTCCCGACACAGATTTAAATGAGTATACGGACGCGGTCACCAGCTATATTAAATACTGCACCGACATTTGTGTACCAGAAATGAAAATTAGGTCATTTCCCAATTAGAAACCGTGGTTCAACAACGACATTCGCAATAAAATAAAAGATAGATCCACCGTGTTCAAATTGGGGGACAAAGAGCTGTACAAGAAATCACGGTATGCATTAGAAGAAGCCATAAAACGCCCCAAACGTAGCTACAGAGTGCGGCTTGAAACGCAGTGCGCTGACACCCGGAGGCTGTGGCAGGGATTACAGTCAATCACAGGCTACAAGGGCTGCAGCCAGGAGATTGACACAACAACGCATCCCTGCCTGACGAACTGAACCACTTCTATGCCCGCTCTGATGCTCTGAACACGGGCAATGCTGAGAAGACCCCAAGTGTGCAGGGGGAGTTTGTTCTGAAACTCTCAGAGCAGGATGTGCAGAAGACTGAGCAGGGTGAAAATCCGTAAAGCTGCAGGGCCTGATGGGATTCCACCTCGCGTCCTGAGGACATGTGCAGCCGAGCTGACCACAGTGTTTACGGACATCTTTAACTCCTCCCTGCAGTTCGCCTACCCAGAACATCCACAAGTAGTGAGACTGGCGAACACATTTAGCCATCCCCCTCGGACCACACCTACACCATCACCATCTACCTCCTGATGATTTCTTATCCATTGCACATCTCCAGTCATTGTTTACACGTCTGTATTGTTAACATTCAAACTGTCTACATGTTTACTTACACATTGTCTATTGTTTGTTTGTACATTGTCTTGATGCACTGTTTGCACTTTGTCTTGTTTTTTACACTTGTTTTACAATCGAGAGACTTTCTGTAAGTAAGAATTCCATTGTACCAGTACCAGTTACATATGGCAATAAAGTTCAAGTTCAGGTAAAAGTTTTTTCCCTGCGGAAAGGAAAAGAAAAGAGACCGAATTTTTCGGCTGTTGAAGCCTTCTGTGGGTACCTGAGGAAGCTCCGCAGCTGAAATATTGTTCTTTTCCTCTCAGCAGGGAATAAACCTTGATGTGTTTCTCTCCAGTAAAGCATGTCTCTGCTGTCTGTGCAGGTTTAAGAAGTACAAGCAGGCTGGGAGCCACTCCAATTCCTTCAGGCTGCCCAACGGCCGAGCGGACGACACAGGTACTGCCCGACGCGTTTGTCTGCCCTGGCCTGGACTGTGTGTCAGCCAGGTTTCTCCACCCCTGCCTCTCTCAGCACGCTGGTCTTCTGGCTCAGCCGGCTGTGGGGGCTGCAGCCTCAGACCGCAAGAGCCCTGCCCAGGGCATCAGCTGGGTCTGCAGGTTCGGCCCCACTCCGCTGCGCTGTCCCAGCTGTAGTGACTGTGTCCTAGGGGACTGAGCCATTTTGGTCTGTCAGTATCAGTATAACCCCTCCTCTCTGTCTGCCTCTCTCTCAGAGCTCCAGAGCATGCCACTATTGGCTCGCTCTCCCAGCACTAACAGGAAGTACCCGCCCCTTCCTGTGGACAAGCTGGAGGAGGAGATTAATCGCCGCATGGCTGACGACAACAAGCTCTTCAGAGAGGAGTTTAACGTGAGTCTTCCCGTCCAACTCCACAAGAACATACTACATAACACTATACAAGTACATAGTACCATGCAGCTCTACAACATGATAGTCACCCAACTCCATACAGCTGCATCATCTCTACAACACCGTAATGCACACAAAGACCCCGTCTTTCTCTGCTTTCTCACTGCACAACATTACAGCAGGGACTGCTGGTAAGGGAACAAACCTCTACATGGGCTAAGCTAGTTAATTCTTAAATGTTTGCATTAAATGCCATCTTCAACCGGAGGAGAGTAAAGAAGACTAAGAGCGTTACGGAGTGTGTGTCTCACCCCCTCTGCTCCCAGGTGGGAGCAGCCCCTGTGTCTCCAGCTGTAACAGTAACAGACTCAGGAAAACTGTCTCTCCCCCTGCAATCTCACTCTCAAACCATGTAAGGTGCCTCCGTTATCCTGATGCACACACACTCTGCACACACCTCACACACATGGACATGTTACTCAGCAGGGGGCGCTGGACCAGAAGACTTTACTGCTCATGTTGATTTGTTCTCGTCGAGATGTCTGATTGGGGTGAAAAAGTCAAAAGGTCATTGGCGTGTTGTGGAACATGTCTTATCGGGAATTCGTGTGATCTTTATCTGATGCACGAGTAGGAACAGGAGCACCAGGACCGAGGACGGGGCAGTTCTCTGAAGTTCAGAAAGAGCCGCTGTGTCTGCCGGCCTTGCTAACGCCGTGCGCGTGTCTCGGCAGGCCCTGCCCGTGTGTCCCATCCAGGCCTCCTGTGATGCAGCGTCCAAAGAGGAGAACAAGGAGAAGAACAGATACGTCAATATCCTGCCCTGTGAGTCGGAACTTCCTGCTGCTCTCTTCCTCGTCCTGTCCTCCCTCCTGCTCCTGATCTTGGTCTCTCTCCCGGTGTCCTGCCCTGTGCGCTCATACTGTCTCCCTGCCGCAGATGACCACTCGCGGGTCCACCTCGCACCGCTAGAGGGCGTCCCAGACTCGGACTTCATCAACGCCTCCTACATCAATGTGAGTGAGAGTCTGCAGCTGCAGGGCCGGGGCCGGCGGTGAAGGGGTATGACTCACCTGGACTGCTGAAGACAGCGGCGTTGGCTGGCGGGGTGCTCAGAGAGATGGAGCATCGGAGGGAGGGGAGGTGGGGAGAGGGTGAGGCTAGATGAGGAGAGATGGAGGAGTCTCATCTATGTGTCTGTTTTTAGGGTTACCAGGAGAAGAACAAGTTCATCGCGGCTCAAGGTAATCGCCCTGTTAGAGTCTCACAGACACACCGCCGCACACTCATCTGCGGGCTGGACAGGAAGGGCCTCCCAGCCTGCAGCCTCTTTCCTCATCGCTCCTGTAAAGATCCTGAAAGGTGACGGAATTGGTCAAGCACTCAGTTTCTCCCTCTGTCCCTCCCGTGTCTCTGTTTCCCTACTGTGTCCCTCCCGTGTCTCCCTGTCCCTCCCATGTCCCTCTGTCTCTACTGTGTCCCAGGCCCGAAGGAGGAGACCGTCAATGACTTCTGGAGGATGATTTGGGAACAGAACACTGCTACCATCGTCATGGTGACCAACCTGAAGGAGCGCAAAGAGGTGAGGGAGGGTCATCATACCCCGAGCCTGACCCCCCAGCGTCCCTGCCTGCTGCGCACCCCAAAACACAGGGGTGCTCCAGATAGTGAGCACTGCTGGGGTCAGCCCCGGGCAAGACTGGAGCTCATCGCCCACATCAGGTGTTCTGGACACCTGCACTTCCTGAAACATCCCCACGGGCAGACACTGCGTCTGCCACTGGCTCTGGAGGGCCTGGGCACACGTCACACACAGGCGTCTCTTTACCGAGGAGGAGAGAGCAGGTGTTGGACTGGACCATCGGCTTAGCTTCTCCTGTGCTTTTAACAACAAGTTCTTAAAAATAAAACTCACACGACTAACATGGTTCATTGTTAAAATTAATGCAGATCATTTCACTCCATTAATCACATTTAATGTGAAGTAATGCAGAAATTGTCTGCAATGGACAACTTATATGTTATTAATTATTAACCTTATTTATTTTGCTTGCGCATTAACTAAAACTATAGGAATCCAGTAGTTGGAGTTTGAGGACGGCAGCACAGATCAGGGAGGTGTTCGGAGGAGGGAGTGTGAGGATGGGAGCAGAGCGCAGGGAGGTGTCTGGAGGAAGGAGTGTGAGGATAGGAGCACATCAGGGAGGTGTCTGGAGGAGGGAGTGTGAGGATGGGAGCCGAGCGCAGGGAGGTGTTTGGAGGAGGAAGTTTGAGGATAGGAGCACATCAGGGAGGTGTCTGGAGGAGGGAGTGTGAAGATGGGAGCCGAGCGCAGGGAGGTGTTTGGAGGAGGGAGTTTGAGGATGGGAGCACAGATCAGGGAGGTGTCTGGAGGAGGGAGTGTGAGGATGGGAACACAGATCAGGGAGGTGTCTGGAGGAAGGAGTGTGAGGATGGGAGCAGAGCACAGGGAGGTTTTCGGAGGAGGGAGTGGGGAGTTTTGGGGGAGGAAGGAAGATGTCCTGATAGGGGCTCAACTTCGACTCCTCCCTCCCTCCTTGCTGTTCATTGCCTCCAGTCTCTCTCTCTCCACAGTGTAAATGTGCACAGTATTGGCCAGACCAGGGCTGCTGGACCTATGGTAATATCCGTGTGTCCGTGGAGGATATGATGGTCCTGGTGGATTATACCATCCGGAAGTTCTGCATCCAGCAGGTACTGTAATTCCCAGATTCGCCTTGTGAGGCTGCTCCTCACTGCCCAAGTTGCTCCTGCATGAAGAATCAGCTCTCGATCTCCTCTCCCCTCCTGTCAGGTGGGTGACGTGTCGGGCAAGAAACCCCAGCGCCTGGTCACTCAGTTCCACTTCACCAGCTGGCCGGACTTCGGGGTCCCCTTCACTCCGATAGGCATGCTCAAGTTTCTCAAGAAGGTCAAGACCTGCAACCCCCAGTATGCTGGGCCCATCGTGGTGCACTGCAGGTCTGTCTGTGTGTGTCACACTCTGGTCACTGCAGGTCTGTCTGTGTGTGTCACACTCTGGTCACTGCGGGGCTGTGTGTGTGTGTGTGTCACACTCTGGTCACCGTGGGGCTGTGTGTGTGTGTGTCACACTCTGGTCACCGTGGGGCTGTGTGTGTGTGTGTCACACTCTGGTC